AGAAATAAAAATCACAGTCCCTGCCTTCAAACATATTTGTTACATCTAGAAAAGAGGTAACCTATGGTTGCCAGTGCAATTTATGTTCCTCTGTACCCAAGCAAGAAAAGGTGCTTTTATATATATCACATTTTTTCCCCTTAAACATGGTCCCAAAGATAATAAAGAATCAGGCAAAAAGTCTGTCAGGGTATTTTTTAACACAAACTTGGGTTGAAATATTCTATCGTACCAGTGATTGCAACCAAAGTACACAAGGCTTTAAATTCCTTCATAAATATAAAAAAAGATTAAAAATTTTTGCACAGTTAACGTAAGAAAAATATTTGTCAATGCCATCATTAAGTAATGGTACAATGTGTTTACATTATGTTCTTTTCATTACACACAGATACTCATGTGTAAATGAAATATACAGAATTAAATCTAGCAGAATCTGTTATAATTAATATTTTCAAAAATGAAATAATTCTTCATCAGTTAAAATCTCCCATGAAAATATATGTGCTTATCATAAATAATATCACTGACATGCCTATTGCCACTGAAATGTTAAGATTAGCCTGGTGATGGGTATTAAAGAGGGCATGTTCTGCATGGAGCACTGGGTGTTACGCACAATGAATCGTGGAACGCTACATCAAAAACTAATGATGTAATGTATGGTGATTAACAGAACAATAAAAATTAAAATAAAAAAAGATTTTTTCAAATCTGATTGTCTACTCACAAAAAGTTAACACTGCCCAAAAGAATCAAAATCAACTTTATGTGTGTTTTTAGTTTCTCTAAACACACATTGTGGAATAAGTGTCTTTTCTGCAAAGCCTCTCCCAATTCTTAGAACACTCCTCTTTTTGTTTTGTTTTTTGTTTAAAATCCAGTTAGTTAACATATAGGGTAATATTAGTTTCAGGAGTAGAATCTAGTGATTCATCAGTGCCCAGTGCTCATCACAAGTGCCCTCATTAATCCCCAACACCCATCTAAGCCCCCCACCCACCTCCCCTCCAGCAACCCTCAGTTTCTTCTCTGTAGTTAAGAGTCTGTTTTATGGTTTGCCTCTTTCTCTTTTTTTTTTCCCATATGTTCATCTGTTTTGTTTCTTAAATTCCACACATGAGTGAAACCATACCATACTTCTCTTAATAAAATGATCAGCTTTTAATATGCATTTTGGTTGGGATGCTTCTAGTTGTGCCTTAGAGAATTTCTTAGTACCTATTAAAATGCCATCATGAAAGTAAGGAAATTTTGCTATAAAAGTACATCATGAAGAATTACATACAAATTATGTTTTAGTTGTCATAGTTTCTCTGTGTCCTTTCTGAGCAGCCAAAGGTTCTCATTCTTGACAGAGAGTGTTGGTGAAGAGATATACAGATGACTTGCAATTAAATCATATTTTTGATCTTTAGTTTTGGATTGATTTGCTAAAAATAACCTTAGATGTTTATGCCAATTGACAACACATCTACAATTTTCTTTTGCAATTTCCTCTTCAGGGGGATTCAGGAGGACCATTAATGTGCCAAGAAAACAACAGGTGGTTCCTGGCTGGTGTGACATCATTTGGATACCAGTGTGCACGGCCTAATCGTCCAGGGGTGTATACCCGGGTCCTGAGGTTCACAGAATGGATACAAAGTTTTCTACAGTAGAGTGTCTCCTAAACCAGCATGAAAGTCATGCTGTTTCCCCATTTCACTCTAAGGAGCATTTAAATTGAGACTTTTGTCAAAATGGCTTCTAAAAGACTTTATTCTTACCTAAGTCACTGCATGCTGAGGTGTGAGGGTGCACACAAAAAATAATCTTTATCATACAAAGTAACTTTAAAATAATATACTTTGATTTCATTGTGAAAAGCTAATCTTTTACAGAGATCATCATTTCCTTTGTTTTTAATCATTTTTATCAAATTCTCTTATTCAAAAGAATGCTATTGTAAAGCATATACTATATACTTAAACTTTGGCAAAATTAGGAAGAGAAGTGAAATAAACTGTTTTGCACAGTATGTTGTTATTTGAAGTAAACTGCTATAAATTATCTAGTCCCAGAATCTCAATATTCTTCCCACTTTTCTATCTAAATGCATTTCCAGTTCATCTTGAACATATCCTTAATATTTTCCCCACTTATAAAAAATATGTATTTTAAGCTGTCACAGACATGGACTAAATTGATTATACAGTGCTCTCAAGCTAATTAAACAGCAAACAAGCACAAGTCTGTATCACCCTTGTATCAAAATAAAAAGTAAATTAACTGATATTGTTATTCTGTTATTGCATCATTTTTTACCTGAATTAATCATACCATCCATTTATTTCAAGCTAATATTTTTTAAGTTTCCAAAAAGTAATTAGGCATATCCAAAAAATACAACTATTACAAATGTTTTTTTTTTCTGATCTATGTGTTTTACAGTGAATGTTTTTAACATGTGCAAAACTTACTTAGACACAGCTGAATCACCCATTAGAAGCCCAAAAATGTGGAATAAATGAATTTGCCTCACTGCTTTAATCTTTTGGATCATTTCCAGAGCAAGTGCAAACTTCAATTGAGCTTACCACACAAAATCTATCGATTTATTTGGGAAGAAAAAATTCACACACACGCGTGTGCACACACACACACACACACACACACAATTGCTTGGGTCTATATGGTCCAAAGTAACAAAAGAAAGAGTAGGTTTAAAGGAGTGTAGACTGGCGCTATGGAAGAAACACGATTTGGGCTACATTTGAAAGGAATAATTATGATTGATGTATTGAAGAGGCATTGGGGCCACTGAGTATGTAGGGGTTCAGGGAAGTTCAGAGATTGAGGATAATAGATAATCATGTGTTGCTGTACCAAAAGTCTCTCTCTCTGGGGAACAGAAAAAGGGAAAACAATGTCATATAAGAAAACTGCAGCCAGATAATTGGGCACTATAAATTTGGTGAACAACTATGGTATTTATTGTCAGGACAAAAATCAGGAATCCCCAAACACACTACTCCTTTTAAGACCTTTCCAATGACTTGATCTTAGAAGCAGTTAGAAAGGATGGAGAAACCGGGGTAGAGTTGATTTGTTTGATTTTACAACCTGGATATTGTTCCACAATTCACCTGCATTTCAAGACACATATTAGAACTATGTTCTGAAAATACAAACACAACAGATACACCAGGTACCATGTACTCCTCATTTTTCAGAGGTCAGCTAAAAGTTTAAGAAACCCTAAGGACAATCTCACTGTCACTGTTTAATAAGAGGGAAGTTGACTGAATGGGCCTGGATCAAGACAACAGGCAAAACCACAACCCTCCCCCATCGCCTTGTCTCTCCCGCCATGCAGCTGTTGTGGTAGTCATGGGTGCACAGACAACGGGGAAAGCACTGTCTCCCTTCCCTCAAGTCCTGACTAAAGGAAGGAACGCATGGTGGGAGCTCAGAGGGAAGAGGTAGATCCCAGCAGAGAAAGGGAGTGCTAAATGTGGCCAGATTGGAGCTTAGAATGCAGCTGTCTGTTCCTTCCCTCAGTCTCTAAGCAGCTGAAAGGGCGCCAACGCCCGCTCATTTCTACTTGTCTCTAAGTTTTGCCAACCAACTCTAGTTGTGAATTGCCTTAATGAAAGCTCTTTCTTTTCCAGCTTAAAGGGTTTACCAGGGAAAAGATGAGGTTTAAAATGCTCCGTAATCCCAACTTCCATTCATACCCTACCTCAACAGGCATTTGTCTTCCTCTTCATGTACTGCCACAAACATATCATATTTCATTCACTTAAAAGATTTAGACAATACCCATGGTCTTTCTTCAGAAACAAGAACTTTTTATTTAGTTAAAAGGAACACAGGGACATTTGAAGACCAGATAGTTACAAGTCTCTTGAGAAGGAGCCCCAAGCGTTGAAGAAACTAGAGAAGATAAGACAAGAAGAGCCGCAGTTCACTCTCTCAGACAAATCCTCAACAGGAACACATGATCACTGATGCCCTCCAGCCCATGTTTACAGTAATTCATAATTTCTCTCCTTGGTAAAATATCCTTATGCTGTGCTTACCTCCACACTGATAGTGACCATGCACCTGGTCCCAACCATGAGACCACTTTACCTGCTGATAGTGGCTGAACAGAGCTAGGGGAAAACCTTAGGCCTCCTTTGCAGCCATCCGCTTCCGGTGTTAATCCCCACCCCCAAACAACCATCTTTGTTTTGTGGGCAACGGAGGGACTAAATTGATTCCAGAACCCTCAGAGAGCTACTTGTGGTTATATAGGCAACATGTGAAGACATATGATTTATATTGTGTATGCCACTTTTGTTTTGTTCTAGACTGTTCTAGACTGTAATATTGTTGATACAGCTATTAACAAAGTTATTCTTACAAAATCCGTTGAACTTTAAACTAAAAATAACTGTAAGGCACAGTTATTTGTCTTGCACAATTGAAATTAGACAATTCTTGCCTCTACATAAAATATTTGAGTAAATTTACACCACGGTTAATGAAAAAGCTTCTTATTTCTGAAGAGATTTCCTAAACATTGTCTGACCCCAGAGCAGAGAAACTGAAAGAAGATGAACCATTTCTATAAAAGAAACTTCTTCTATGGTAATAGACCCATGTGTGTGTGGATTCAGTTGAAAACAGTGATACATTTCTTTAATCAAAACAACATGTATTGAAAAATGAAACACCATAAAAATAAATACTAGAACAGTCCATTTTTATCAAACACTTATGTAAAGGTAAAATACTTTTGCACACTGTAAATTTTAGTACAATTTACATTACATTAACTAGATTATGACTTATGAAAAGTGACAGAAACAAAAATAACTGCTTCCAACACATATACTTCTCTGATGTGTTAACAGCAATTTTATCTGCACAGTCCATTCCATTTACTTAAAGTCTGGGTGCATCCTTTAGTGAAATAAGCATGTCTCACTCCATTATTAGCACAGCATATTTTGTAAATGAAATAATATACATATAAAAATTATTTTAACATTTGCCTCAAGGGGGAGCTTACAGTTCATCTTGCAGATCCTTTGAGATTTCAAGCCATTCCAAGCTAGTGTTCTGATGCCATTCCTGATGTAGATCCAGGATTAGAAAATCTTATTTTCTGTTTTGGAGCCAAGTCAGTGAATTATTATACTTCCATGCCACTTTCTTTTCTGGTGCTTTTTGAAATCCACAGTGTGGACTGGGTTGGGCTAGTTTTTGTTCTTCCTTTACTGAAAAACATTAAGAAGAAGTTCAACGTCTGAGACTTTTTATTGAAATAGGCATGTTTTGGTCCAAATGGAGATATTTCAGACCCCTATTATAAAAGGGTCTTTCTTCTCTCACCACCAGCATCTCTACAAAAAAGTCTAGATTATTCCAGTATGTGAAGATGGTAAACAGGTCATGTGAAATGATGAAAAAAATATAATTGATCTCTGTTTGACCCTTCTTAGTTTAGAATTCAGACACATTCAAACACACACACACGCAAATGTGTCTGACATAATACCAAAAAGTTTCATTTTAATCACCCATAAATCTTCATTTTATTTGATCAGTGATTTTTGAAATTTTGCTTTTTGAATATTGTTCCATTCACATATGCTGTATTTGATGCTAAATCATCAAAATAGTGCTTTTGTCCTAAGTGTAAGGACCTTCCTAATCCCCTCCTCCCCTCGATTTTCCTGATCCCTGAAAGTTTGGTTTTGCTTCAGTCTCTGCAACCAATGTAGTTCAAAGTAGATTCAGGCCTTGATGACTTAATTCCTCGAGATCTGAGACTGAACTTCCCTCTTGTCAGATAAGGAATCCGAACCCACACTTCCAGCCCCCCATACAGGGCTGGCTGTCTTCTCACTCTCTTTCCATAAAATGGCCACTTCTCAGGCTCCTGCGTAAATGCCTATTCCTGAGTTTATCTCCACAAATCGTCCTCTACCAAGCTACTCATCAAGATCTAGATTCCTGGGTCTCATTTCCTGAGAATGAACCCTCACCTGGATAACTTAACCACTTCTAGTTCCTGGACCTTGGGTCCTGCACTTCCTGCCTCCCACAGAGATTCCCCTCACGGGCATCTGCCCGCACACACCACAGGTAGCCCATTCCATCTACTCTCAGTCTACCAGAAGTGGCAGAACTCCTTCCAAGACAGAAAAGAACTCTTCCTAACAAGCCTGAGCAATACAATTCTATAATATTACTTAACTGACTTCAATTTAACTGCGGATTTCTTACTAATAAAATGTTATGCCCAAATTACATGTTTTGGAGATTTGCTTCCAGAAAAGTAAGACCAACCCATCTTTATCTACAAAGTCATCTAACATGAATGAAAAATAAATCAAGTAAAATTTATGAAAAACAAGAAATTTTTTCAAATGGCAGATAAAAGGCCATTAAGTTATTAATGTAATTTAAATTTTTGTGTAGCATTAGCATTTCATTTAAGAGTTACTACCAGTTAAGGAAACAAGTTATTATTTTGAACATGACATGGAATGATATAAACCATTATGTGTACCAGATTGGAATTTAAACTTTCTGCAAGGCACTCAGATGATAATGGAGTTGAGTCTTTGGTGAAGTTTCTCCTTGCTTTCCTGGAAGAAAGGAAAAGGGGACGATCTAAGAACGAATGAATTAAGCACTACAGCTAATTCCGGCATCTGGGGGTACTCAATTTTGGTTTATTTTCTCACTCTGAGATTTTCAAACAAGTGAAAACTCCTCAGATCTTCAAAGGTATAAAAACCTGGAAGACTTTCATATGAATAGAATCTCCACAATAATACACTATTTGGAAGAAGGAAAACAAACTTTAGAGAAACCTCAGTTACTGGAACTTCAGCAATTTTTATTTTAGAAATGACAATGTCTGCATAATATTTTTTAAATTGTTTTTTTCAAGATGATTTGTTATTTACAGCTCTTCCTTAACAGTTTGCTGGATTAAGGGTAGATTTATATCACATCCTCTCTCTACTTCTCTGGTTTTCAAAATAACTAATCATCTTTCCATCTATAGTCTCAGGAATCAAGGGAAGAAATGAGATATTTACAATCATCTTTTTTCTGTACAAACTATTACAAATAACTTTTAACTGTGTTTCCCAGATATATTGGAAAACCCAGAGGACACAAAATGTAGTATTAATTTGCCAGGTTTTACTTATCATTATTCAAAATGTCTTATTTAAACAACTTGTACATCACACTTTGTGTCCTTTAAACAATTTATGTGAACAATTTAGAGTTTACATCTATTTAAAGTTTTTTTTTTCTGGGGCATTTTTTACTTAGTGGATCTTTATGGTTTATTTCAGAAACAGATGAAGATGAACTCGAATCAAAAGAGAAATATGACTTTCATTTGCAGGTCCTTCCCTGATGAAGTCACTCAGTTTTTGTTTAAAACACTAAGAAAGGTCCCTGTTCGGGAACGAAAAAATAAAATAAAATAAAATACTGACAAAGATGGCTAGTTTATTCTGGCAAATATGTTCTCATTTAAACCCAACATCTTTTCCTTTCTCTTTTAATAATATTTATATTTCATATATTCATTTTTTAATTGATAAATTGACACACATGAAAAAATTTCACCTTTAACTCAAGAGTATGGTTAAACAGATATAAAAGAATACCCCCAAGAATCTTGCTATTAAGATATATCATTTTGAAGGAAGCTGCCTCCTAAAAGTGACCCAGTTTTACCATTGTACTTTATTTCTTATACTCAAAAGATCCTTTGGAAATAAACAACAACCTATGACTTAAAATGTTGAAAAGGTATTACAGAGTGTACCCAAAAATCAAGTCTTGCATACAACTTGGGGTCAAGATTGAAAGGTTTAGCATTAATGCTTATACGTAATAAGAGATAGTAAGGTAGAGTTGCGTATGTGTCAGCTTAGAAGGATTCAAATTTCAGATCCACCACACACACTAGCTATGAGACCCAAGGCAAACTGGGTAACCCATCTAGGCCACCATCTTCTCAACTGAAAAATACAAACAAAAGAGTACCTACTTCATATGATTTGTGAATATTAAATGAGATAATTCATGAATCCTATAATCAAGGCCTATCTTATTAGATTGTATATAGTGGATTTGTACTGACAGATACGAAAATCAGAACTTTCTTAAGGCAAATTAAAAATATAATTTTATACTTTTTAAATGAGTTCTGGAAAACCTATATAAAAGTTTTCAAGTTGTCTCTACATATCTGAATTACTTACCTTTTATGCAGCATCTGGAAACAGCAGGTTCCAAAAGCGACCAGTATCAATAAAAGCAGTGGGATTGTTGGTATAACAACATAAATTAGATTGGGAATTATGCCTACAAAAGCAAAACAGTCTTAGTATAAAAAGATGGCTGAGGCAGAATTCTAACACTAAAATTGTATAAACATTTTCCAAAACTTTAAGGTAAAATAGAATTATTATAAATAAATGAATTCTGAGAAAGTTTCTTCCCCAAATATTGAATAATCTAATGAAATAATATATTTGTTTGACAAAAATTAAAAACAAAAACTTACTTCACTGGTTGCCATGCTCCAATTTAATGACCATATTTCTAAAACTATTATTAAGTCTGCAATTTAGATAGGGGCTAGTTTTCATGACATATTAATAATCTTAGCTATCTCACTTCATTAATCCTTCTCAGTTATTACTTCGAGAAACAAGCACTGATTATTAAAATAATTGTTGATTTATTGGTTATATAATTATCCTAGCCAATAAGGTCAATTCCATGATGATATGCAAGACTCTCTGGGATTAAATCAAAATATTAAACATTAGTAAATATTAACTAATGATACAGTCATAACCCATAGATGCAAGATTCCAGAAGCATAAAGACTTGATCTTAATTAAATTCTAAAATGAATCATTTTTTAATCCTGTTCCATCACACTTGATAACGTTAGGTATTCTTGGTAAAATAAAAAATTGCCACACTTAAGCCCCATACAGATTAAAATCACCTTATTAAACATTTTTTCAAGGTCATAAGAGGGAAAATACTCCTCATGTAATTATTTACTAAAATTTTTAATTAGGTTTAGATGTTCTGACTGGTTTTAAAATCAGGCACCTGAAAAGTAAAAAGCACTAAGGTTTAATATCATGTCCATATAAGAAAAGCAAATTGAAAACTATACATTTCTCTAGGAAATCAAAAGCTGTCAGCATTACCAATCTAGATAATTCTAGTCAAAGTGGACCAGACTTAGATCAAACTAACCATTTAACTGCACATCCTGTCCTTTGTTAACAAAAGATGTATTAACTGAGGTCTAGTGATGGGGTATTTGGGGGGTAAGTTGCTATGCTTTCACCTAATTTTGAGTCCCCAGTACATGACTTCAAGGATTTTAAGGATTCAGGAAATATTTTCATTCCTTTTCCAAATACCATCATGATCATTATATTATAATATATATAATATAATATAATAGTCAAGAAAAAGAGAAAGTATTTCCTACTCTTCCATGGATTTTGGATCACCTGTGGAAAGACTCAGACTTTGGGTCTTTGGCTCAATCTTCACAAAGTAACTAGCATAAATCAAGATTTCTGCCTGGTGGTCACAGGACCATGCTAAAAGAGCACCCAACTAATACTAAGAGCAGCTTCTGATTGGGATTTACAATTCCAATCAGGGAATGTGCAATTTGCACTGGGATTCCATTGCTTTCTTTGGCAGAGAGTGCTGTGCTAGGGACAGCTGGGTTGAGAGCTGTTTGTATGCATTTTTTTCCCACCCTGTTCACCAGTGAGTGGTATCACCTCAATAGCCTGAAATCAGCCAAGGTGGGAGTACACATACCACAGGAATCTGCAAAGGATACAAATCAGGCTTTTTCTTTTATACCCACTCCCACATCAGCCACTCCTTAAACATTTACCAGCATACCACTGTTTGTGAGCCACTGAATGTGCCAATTTACATCATAATGCCTATGTGTTATGCAGAAGGTTCTAGGGAATCCAGGTTTCCAGGTGGATTACTTAGTTTATTACTAGATATGTCTACTTGAAGTGAACAATTAGGAAGGAAACAAAATAGATTCTTCTGTTCAAAAATTGCTTAGCTTTAGCAGTTCAAAAAGTAAATTTCCATAGGCCAAATTCAGTGCACCATGTCATCAAGCAACGTGAAAAGTTAGGGCCAGCATGAAGCAGAGTTTAAAATTATAGATTCTGCTCTTGATAGAGGGGTTAAAAACATGTGAATTCATTACCTGCTTCAGTAACAACCACATTTTGAGGGGTGTCTCCTGGTTGATTTGTAAAATAAGTCTTTTCTACAGGAGAAGTTGGGTTAATCTCTGTAAATAATAGGAACAGGCATCATACACAATGATAAAAAAGAGAAATACAAATGTAGATGAAAATAAAACTTTATAATAAAACAATGTAAACACCAGAGTTTTGATTTCTGAATAATTTACAGATAAAAATTATATCTTGAATTTATATTTACATGAAATTGTTCAACTGTGAAGTCATCATTTAATTATCTTTGAATAAAGTATCCACTTGGTGAATCTATTTTTTATTATTTTTTTTTCACTTGGTGACACTTTACAACTCGGATCTCCTTGGTGAACCCTTGCAACCCCAAAACTGCATTTAGTAATCGGTGGCGTGTCTATACTGATGACAGCCTGGTACAGGTAATAATGACCAAACAGGTAGAAAGCAAGGCAAAGAGAAGCAGGAATTAGGAGTATAACAATGTGAGACACTAAGTGCAATTCAAAGACAAGTATAGATGACTTCTTCATTAATATCAGCATAATATTTAGGTTTCTCCTTGCAGTAATAATCATCAGATGACTGCACATGGATTGTATTTGGAATGGATGATTCAAGTAACAACGTTCAAAAGCCCGTTTCTGTCCTAGAAAAACAATGCCATCCTTAAATGTGCTTTCCAGTAGTGTCTATTTCTTTAAAAAAAATAATAAAAAATTAAGGCTTGCAAGTCCTTTCTTTCCTTAGTTTTATGAGACAAGATCTCTTCAGTGGTTATACAATTAAAAAATGTCAAAATTTCTTACCATGATCTGGTATTGCTGTGCTGCCTATTTTTTTCCCTAGGGCACTATTTGGTAAATTAATAGTTCACTGAAAGTAAATTGAATTAATAAGAAAAAAACTTGTAACTTGTCTTCATTTTTTTCAAAAATATAATTCTATTTATGTTTGTCAATTGATGGAAGAGAAAAAAATACATGCAGATTTTACATTAGTTTAGCATGTTAAATCATTTTTAATACCATGCTGGCTGCTCTAATTTGGCCACATAGTCTTCTTTATTGGAACTTTATCATAGACTATCCTGTAATAATTTTTATTATTCTTCTAAACATACTTCACCCTAACACTTCAATAGCCTCCTGTAGGTTTTAGATACAGTCCTACCCTACACTCATTTTTCTACAGAACTTAGGCACTCCATGCCAGTTGCTGCACAAATATTACAGATATTATGCAATTTATCAACATAGAACTGGCTGTTTTAAAACAATAATCTTAATAATCTTTAAATTGATGTAATTTCTGATTAATAGTATTTTAGAAACTTAACCCATATACACTATTTTTAATGTCTAAGAACAAGAGCACACAATGCAATTTTAATGAGTACAAAAATTAGATTCAGAAGTATCCCCATAAAAATGTCTTAAGATAACACTGATAGACACAAAGAATAGATATGTGACTCACAGAGCAATAACCAAAAATGGAGAAGAGAGTGAGAAAACCAATTAGTGAGTTATTCAGTTTCTTCACAACTATGTTAATTGTTTACCACTTCAGATATCATTAGTCATATTATTAGATGGTGTGTAGGGGGCAGAAAGAGGAGACTAAGTTCAAACCACACAGCACTTCTGGTAGTTGGAGAATAAAGTTCAAAATAATTGGCGCTCTAATTCGTAAATTTTAATAAATCCCACTGCTCACTCCTCCAACCCCCTCACCACCAAAAACTAATTCTCCACTAAAAGGGCACTATCTAAGCAAGAAATTTAATCACACCAGCATTATTATTAAACAAAACACTAAGCTCAAGGAAGGTTAACAGATAGAAAATAAATATTTAAATTAAAATAAAGAAATAAATATTTAGAATATTTAGAATATCAGAAGAAAAAATTAAATATTTAAATTAAAGACTAAAAATTCTAACTACATTAATAAGACTATAAATATAGCTATATATTTATAACTATAAAACTGGACATGTGCATCAGAAACAAAAAATACATAAAGGAATCTTATTCACAATGTAGAGATTATTTGAAGATTTAGGCAAAATATAGAAGATAAAGAAAACATAATCTTTTATCTTAAATGCTCTTCCATGAATAATATGAACCCAGATTACCTACACAAAACAAGTAAAGAAGATTCTGGGCTTGACAGTGTGCTGAATAATTTGGTAAGTAGGAATTCAAAATAAAAATAAAATAAACAAATGTATGAAGGGCCAAATAGTTTCCCTAAAAGCTCAAAGAAAGGAGAAAGAAATATTAAAAATACTCCATAACATACTTTGTTTCATTCAATAGTTTCAAGTACATAGTATCACCAATTGAAAATATCAGAGGGTTTTAACTTTATATTTTTCCAAGAAAAAAAATAAAGACAAAGAACATAAGTGCCTAACAGATTTGGCTTTGCAAAGGCTTCTAAGAGGGTGATGATGGATTTAGGGCTTTAAAGAATAAACTCACCGGCGATACAGAAAGCTGGCTAATATACTGAAGAGCAGGATAAATATAAGAGAAGGGTAAATCTAATTCAAATAATCCCTTGTGCTTTAATGTCTTACAAGAAAGGAATCACGTAATTTCAAGAGAATAATGGAAATAGCAGTACTTGATTATAATTGCCTTCCATGAACACATTATGAGGTCAAGTAGATAGCCCCTCAGAAGACTTAAAATGACATTTCCCAACACTGAGGAGGAGAAAAACATCAAAAAAAAAAAAAAAAAAAAAACCTCTCAAAGCCTAAGTGTCCAGTTTGACTTTATTAGGTGATTAAAAAAATTAGTTTACAGAATTTTGAGTAGTCTCTACTTTTGGTCAAATATTAATTTAGTGGAGCTGTCCTCTTCAAAGTGATTCAAATTTACTATGTCCACAGGAAACCCCACCAGCGTAGCTCAGGTCAATGCAATCTTCCCATGTTGCACATGGCAAGAAATTGGAGATTTCAAACAAAAGCCATCTAAGGGGGCAGAGTCCAAAGAATGACAAAAAAGGAATACCATGGCAAATGCCCCTACTTTTTTTCCACTGTGGCTTGGTGAGCTAGAATCAGTCTGACTTCCATTGAGGAGCACATGTGAAGGAGCAATGCCAACACATGAGAAGCTAATGTTCCAGGAGGAAGTCACTTTGTTCCCTTAAATGCATCGGATAATCATCCAACGATCTGTCGCTCACATGTGTAAATCTCTAGGCGCTTTGGTGTCTTATACCTACTTCACACACGTTACACTTGATATTTAAAATATTTTAAAATAGATATTTATTCTTTGTAAAAATCTGTTTACAAAAACACAATTTGACCTTAACGTTAGACATGCTATTTTCTCTTAAAGACACATCTCCAGATGGGTTCTAGTTACCCCCTTCTGCTTCACTGATTGGGCAGTTTGCTCTATAACATAAAGTATATTTCAAGACACCGAGCGCTATGACAAGCTGCAAATAAAGTCCAGGTTTCACAGCAGAGAAACACAGAAACACAAAGAGCCATAGGCAGCGAAGCCTAAATAGAAATAGTGAAGATCAAAACTATTAGCAAATATGCACAAAATCTGCTATACCTATTTATGGTATTTCCTACCTGGTTCGTACTTGCAGATGTAATTGTGCTTCATGTTGCACCTGTCATCATTCCACTGGTAAAGGTAGGGACCCCCAAGGCCTGGGTTGGCCGTTGGCTGATGATACATCACCACACACTTTTCACTTCCACAGGAAGGTTCATCAGTATACCAGTTTCTGTAAACAGAGCAACGGGAACACCTCCAAGTGATTTCACCCATTCTTTTCTTTTTGTTTTGCTTTTTGTTGCAAGGTTTTATTTAAATTCCAGTTAGTGAACATAGAGTGTAATACCAGTTTCAGGAGTAGAATTTAGTGATTCATCCCTACCATATAATACCCCGTGCTCATGACAACAAGGGCCCTCCTTACTCCCCATCACCCAACTGGCCTCTTCTATTCGGACACCCTCTACACGTGAACAGAAATCTCCCTTCTCCGTTTTGCGCCCCCCAGAGAACATCCAACTCTGCAGGATCCCTACTCACCGGTACTGGGAACTGCTTCCATCAGACCACTGGTAGAGGTCTGGGCAAGCACCAGGTATTTGCCCCTCTCCGTTTCGCCAAAGCCCTATCCAGAAATCACCATCAGAAATCCCTGTTCCTGGTTTTGTCAGGTTTTGCAACATACTTTCTATTAGCTTCTGTTCTGCTTCATTCTCCAGGCTGAGAAGGGCTCCCCCCTCACTCTCACAAGCCAGGCGTGCCTCCTGGAAGCTCACTCGGCTGGACAGTTCATGGAAGTAGGCCATTTTGTAGCAGGGATGCTTGAGGTCAGCAAAACACACCTTTTGGCCTGAAAAAAAGATGTTACACATTGATTATCTGAACTATATTCATAATGCTACTATGATTTAAGATTAAAGAACCAACCGATACAGGATACACTCTCCCAAGACTGATTCTTCCATTGAATCATTTTCTAAGGTTTATTTTTTAAATTATTAAAAATTTCAATTTATAAAAGCAAATCGATTCCCTAGTAAACTTGTAATACAAACTTTGAGACACCGTACTTCAAGAAAATTTTTGTTAAGGGAATTCATGCTTCTTCTGGCTTAGATACAAACTAATTACCACAGCAAATGAAAGTAGCTAGAGAAATTTCAGGTATATAGAGCAAAGAGAGCTAAAAGGTCAAAATTATGAAAGAAAAATAATTCATAAAATAATTTAATTTTTAAAAAACAAGTACAGTAAAAAAAAACAATGTATAGAAGGTATCATGAAAAAGATATAAGGTGGCAAATTTAAGGTGTAAATATTTGCTTTTATTGTATATACATGAAAGCAAATACATTAAAATTGGAAGTTAATAGAGGCCAGAATGAAGTTAATTCTAGTAATAACTTGTTAATAAAACACTGCATTAGAAGTGACAGGATAGATTGCTAGAGTACTCTAGAGCAATCTTTGAAAAAATTCTCATTGCCAATTCTCTGAATATTTTCTGGTTTTATAGGACATGCTGTGTGTGAGCTCCAGTTGCTCAGCCAATGACTTCTCTGTTTTTACACAGACATCTCAGATGAGTTATAAACTCCAAATAAGGGATGCCTAGGTGAAGGTTCAGTCGGTTAAGCATCTGCCTTCGGCTCAGGTCATGATCCCAGGGTCCTGGGATCAAGTCCCACATCAAGCTCCTTGCTCAATGGGGAGTCTGCTTCTCCCTCTGCCTGCCATTCCCCCTGCTTGTGCTCTCTCTCTCTCTCTCTCTCTCTCTAATAAGTAAATAAACTCCAAATAAAATTTCCCAAATTTGAACTTAAGATTTTATCTATTTGAGAGAGAGAGAGAGAGAGAGAGAATGGGAGAAAATGAGTGCACATGAACAGCGGGGGAGGGGGCGGGGGGGGCAGAAGGGGAGGGGAAGGGAGGAGGGGAAAGAATCTCAAGCAGACTCCAAAACCTATGTGTGTGGGTCTTGCTGGATCTCACAACCCTGAGATCACAACCCCAGCAGAAACCAAGAGTTGGACGTTCAACCAACTGAGCCACCCAGGCACCCCTGAACTTAGAGAATCAAATACTTAAACAAATAAACAAAAAAGAAATGCATTTTAAATGTGAAACAAACATATCAGATAATAAAAGGAGCTATTAAAATCTCATCAATTGCTAATTATTGTCAATCTCTGATAACTTGGATAGAGATCGGGGTAAACTGAAATTTGGCCAAAATTGTCTTTCAAAAACAGTTAAATCATTAGCTAAAAACAAGTTAGGTGACATATATGAGAACAAATAATTTTTCAGCTTTAGAGTCTCCATTTATGTATTAAATGAAGCCATATTAAATAAAATGACTTCTTCAGATTTAACCTAAAAAATGCCCTATAAAATAGTTGAAATCATTTCTTTTATGAGTCTGAAAGTGGTAACACTGCATTTCTTTTCAACTTTCCCTAAATTAGGAGCACCTGGGTGGTTCAGTCAGGTGAGCATCTGACTCTTGATTTACTTCCGCCCCCTTATACCACCAGACAAGTGTGCCAAATCATAGAGATGAGCTCCAGAACGCCATCCTGTTTTGTTTTTCATTAGTTTCTTTGGTTCACTTCTGATCTCTGCTGTCAACTTTAAAAACTGCCATGCATCCCTCTCTGTCACCATTTCTTATTCCCAACCTGCTGCCCACAGCCTCTATTACTTTCTTCGCCTTTTTCCGATTTCAGTTTAGATTTGGCCTCAGAAAATAGACCACCAAATATTTTATGTAAAATTAAGTCAAATTACTTTATGCTAAGAAATTAAGGCAGAGCTCTACTGCTTTCTTAAGATTTGTCTGCATGAACGTTATTCTTGTTGGGACTGAAGGGTTTTTCAGCAGGTATTTAATTTTGTAGCTGATGGAGAAAATTTGTCAGTAGTGGAGGAAGGGGAGTGTTATTGTACTTAAACACTGGCTAAAAAATACAGCATTCAAGCTTTGTACTCTTAATTACAGTACATCACACTGAGTCAACATCAGTATCACATCCAATCTCCCTCAGAATCAGCAATTAATGACCTATGATGACCCTCAGAGTCAGGAGGGCGCCGAAATCAGGAGGCCATTAACCTCACCACAGTGTTTGAGTGATAGGCATTCAATATCGTGGCTCAAGCTGAGAACAGCCATCTAATAAAATAGTTGCAGCAATGCAAGCAAGCCAGCCAGTTGTCCTCTCTGTCTCATTAACTGTGATCTGGACCCAGGAGCAACACACTGAATAATATGAACAACTTAACGGACTGCCCCAACTAATTGTTAATGAAAAATAAAACGTCAGTATGAATGACCACAGGAAAATGGAATTAAAGAGACTTCAAGAGGACAAATCAGTATGAAATAAATCATCCTTGAGAGATAATCATGGAAGTCCCAGTGGCTGATTCTAATACAATTATTTATTTTAATTTCTCCTAAATTATTATTGGATTTTGTGATGACTTCATTGTCTAAAATGGTTGTTCCTGATAATATTCTAAAAATGCCATTAAGCCCAGTGAGTTCTGTGCCTGCATTTTTTTTAAAGATTTTATTTATTTATTTGACAGAGAGAGACACAGAGAGGGAACACAAGCAGGGGGAGTGGGAGAGGGAGAAGCAGGCTTCCCTGCGGAGCAGGGAGCCCTATGTGGGGCTCGATCCCAGGACCCTGGGATCATGACCTGAGCTGAAGGCAGATGCTTAACGACTGAGCCCCCCAGGCGCCCCTGTGCCTGCATTTTTAACACAAGCTATTTCCATTTTCTTCTTCTACAGCCTTTACATATTTCTAAGTCTCAAAATATATCTCAACTGCATTCCCTTGAGTCTTCAACTTGCTCAATTTTTCACTCCAAGAACTCTCAGACTTGGATTTGACTCCAGCACTTCTGAAATATTAAACTTGTCCAACAAGATTGTTTTGCAAGATGTCAAAAGGGAGCCAAATTCTTTTAAAAATTAGCCAGAAGCTTGAATGAGTAAAAATTATTTATGTACCAAGGCCAGCACTCATTCAGAGGGTGCCTACGTATGACTTAGATGCAAAAAGTCTCTGCTCATTCTCTTTGATGAGTTAAAAAATAAACACCACACAGATCGCTTTATGGTGAGGATACCGAATTGATGACAGGAATTAACTCATTTATAAAATTAAGATAGCATTTTGAATGAAATGCTTAAGAGAACTTTAGTGTAATATGGACATTCCTAACACTGCTATGTGAGTCTACAGAGAAATAATACTAATAAGAGAAAAACCTAAGGCAGGGATTCTATTTAAAGTAATTACTAACAGTGGGTGAGGCCTAGATGCTAGCTAGCTGGCCATGGCACTGTGACAGGCATTCCCTCTTGGCTGTGATGATGGAGTGGTCCAGGGTCATGGGTGAGGGGTTAGAGACCGGTCTCTAGTATAGTAGAGACACTATAGAATAGTGGCCAAATACCACCAGAACAGGTAGATATTCACTCCAAAGTATTCGCTGAATATCAGCTGTGTCCTCAGATTTTGCACTGAAAAGTCACTGGCGGTTCAGATCTAGCAAGGCTGTTTTCCGAAAATTACAGATACGTGGCCCAGTTTTTATTACCATTCATATATAATCAGTTAAAGCTGACACTGTGGATTTCTTGACATCCACTTCTGTTTCACTACCAGCTACCGCCTTATTGTGCAAATGTGGTCCAAGCTGTAGCAAAATCAAGCAAAAAGAGCTGCTGAATACTCACCACCATTTCAGCTGATCGCATTTGGCTGAAATAGCAGGGATACTCCAACAGCTGGGAAACAAATGTTGCCCTAATTCCCAGAAAAGTTCCATTAATACAGATCTGGAAGCCGCTTTTCCCACTTCTGTAGAGGCTAATCTTCCTAGAGAAACATTATGATTACCTCTCTTCTCATTCTGTGAGATCACATGGGGAATTGCTTTTTCTCTGATCTTTAAATGTTTCATTCAGATAAAATCTTCCATTGACTATTTTGAACAATAGGAATTCAAACCTTCCCCCTACTACATCTATTTCCATCTTCCTTCTACCAACCATAAAATATTTAGATGAATATTCAGATAACCAAGGAACAGTGTTTATTACAGTAAAGGAACCTTGATACTAACAATTTATTAAATGTCACCTAGGATTTCCACCTCGGATTCTACACCTATTAAATTTATACACAGACGCATACAGAACTACATACGTACACATGCACTTTTAGAGATAATTCTCAGTACTGCCTACTAAAAATAAACATTCCTATCACTGTCACCACTAAGATTCTGCTATTCTACTATTCCCATGAATAGATGGTTTTGTGTTTTGTCTTAGTCATGAAAATTTAGTCCTTTAGAGCTAAATATTGGCAGTAAATACTTTTGGCATTGATATAAAAGTGAGGCCAAACTCAAAAAGTTATGGCAGTTTACTTTTTTCTTCCTGAATAGAAAGGATCTATGATTCAGTTTTATTTTGCTTATATTTATTAACTTTCTGACAGTTGAGTCCTCTGTTAGTAAAGTAATAAGATTTTCCTTATACCTTGCACTATAATCATATATTATCAATATTGAATATTGAATGTATATCATGATTTTCAAATAAAAGCAAAGAAAATATTTTATGAATTTCTATGGTTCAATCATGATCTACTTTTAGTTACAAAAAGAAAAAAAAAAGTTGCACAAAAGAGAATCTACATGATAAGTCTTCCCCAAACCTGACTAACTGAACTTCGGACATTTTACCAGAATCCCAGAAAATAATTTGTTTCTCATAATTCTTTCTCTCTCCCAAATCACATTGCTAAATAGGTTGATCCAACA